TCAAGAGCTACCCCTTCAGCTGGATGTGAAGGTTCCGGCCAACAGGGAGTGGGATCTTGGCGCCGACAGTGTGGCATCCACTGGCTATGCATCGGATGTGAGCGAGCCCACTAGTCCCACGACTGGGTCGTTTTGGCTGTGAGCAAACACAGCCGAAGTTGCAGTCTTGCGCCGTGGTGGGTGGAGCCCCCCTTTTTGGCCTCAGTAACGGCTGCCCGTGAAGGTCCACGTGGTGTGGCCTTCGCTGGCTATGCCTCGGTCGTTGTGACGTTGGGCACTTCTGTGCCCTATTGCAACAATTTCCCTCTTCCCCAAAACTTTTAGGAAACAACAGCAGCTGAAGTTGCAACTCTTTCGCTGTCTTGGGTGGAACTCATGTACGGCCTCATTGACTTGCTTTGCGAGAGAGCAAGCAAGTGTTTGAGAGAGCACCGTGCCATGTCGGATGCTTTGCGACCTGTGCGTGTGCATGTGTGTGGTTCGGTGGGCAGGACAAGCAGATTTGAGGCGCCTAACATCCATGCACATGCACTCACGTGTTGTTCATTGACTGGTTAGGGTTGGGCTCGGGGCTCTAAAGGCCCCGCCAGCCTGACTGAACAAAAATGCCGCTAAATTGGGCATCTCTGCTTCTGGTCTTGCCGGCTACGACCCCGAAACCTTTCCATCTTCGGATAAAGTGTCGTGGTTCCTGTGTTCGCATTATCCCAAGGTCAACAGTCGGATGTTGTCAAAAGTGAGCTTTGGTACATCGCAGGGCTTGTTTGTACAGCTTCCGCACATCCAAAAATGCGGAGCCTGCGCAGAGCGTGGGTTGGTTTGAGCTTGAGTTTGTACGACGCGGAGAAAATCTTGGAGTGATGTGTGCAGCACTCCTAAGGAGCTTCTGCAACCTGAAGTTTGCCTTTCTTACCCGGAGGACGGCATCCCATCCTGCCCGAACTCCGGCCGCTCGCCAGAAGGAGCCTGGCCAGCTAACGACCAGGTCGGGGCTCAGCTTTCCAGAGGCCCCTTTCCCCTTTCCCTTTTTTTTGTCAGGCCTCGGTCTGCCGTCTCCGGCGTTCAAGGCGACGAGAGGCAACCGTGGCAAAAGAATTCTGCTTGCCTCCACAGACTGCCTCGGCAATCAAGCGGATTGGGAAGCAAAGAGTGGCCGCGAGGTCTTGCCTGGAATGCTGCTGGCTTTCAGACTGAAAGTCTTCCTGACCCATACAAGTACTACCTCTCTACGTCGAACACGAACTCTCTCGTTGCGCGAACTGATCATGCCATGAAGATGAACTGTTTCATGACTCAGTACCAACTCCACATGCTGACTTCAAGTAATTCCGTCCGCTCGGATGGCGAGTGGGAAGATGCACACCTCCTAGAGCCCTGCAGCTCAGCATGGCCACTTGAATGGCTGAGGACGAGCAGGTGGATTCGTAATGTTCAGACGAGAGAGAGATTCGGGAGAGCGACTTTCAGACCCCTGCCAGTCCCGGAGCCGACGAGATCGGAGCAACGAGCCTCTCACGGCGAGTTTGGAACATGGGGGGTATCTGCCCTCAAATATCGGAGTCTGGAAGATCGTCTTGTCAGTGCTGCAGTCAGTGAATACTGCGAGCCAGGCTTGGTGTGCTACGCAAGCTATGGCAAATCTACGCCGAGACCGTACTGCCACTGGAGCAAAAGCCCGCACCTGACTGCGAAAAGCCACTCCAGAATTCACCAGAGCGAAGCGTGGCATGGGGAGCGATTCAAGGTCGTTTTACGAGCACTTTTGTGCCCCACCCATTTCGTTGGAAGAGTTCGAAGCACGCCCTCAGGTGCGGAACTGGGAATGAAGGCACTTTTCCTTTCTGTCTGTGCGGTCGCTGGTTCTTGGAGGTGCTTCTTCTCGGCCAGTACAGCACCGGGAAAACATCCATGGCGGCGGCCTTGTGACCTTGTGCTTTGCCGCCGTGCCATTCTGAGCTCTGACTCTGAGCCCGACCTGCGAGGTGAAGTGGCTGACCGAGTCCGAAAGTAACTACTTTGACGTGCGGCCGCAGCCCAGCACCGATAAGTCCGCGCCTCGAGTCGGCCGTCCGAGGGTCTGCTGGGAGCTCCATGGCACAAGGTTTATGGCAGTGGTCCACGGCGATGAGGAAGGTTCGCCGAAAAAAGACCCTACAGTCGCGGGCAGTGGGCGACGAAACTCCTACTCACGAGGCATTATCCACGGCAACGCTGCTGCCTGCCTTCCCCAGTTACCTTACCAGGCCTCGAGCGGGTGTGTCTGAGTTTGGGGTTAGCGGAGCTCAGCGGGCTCGGCGGAGCTCTGAGCCAAGGGTTTGTCCAAATTCGGCACGGACTTCCTTGGCAGCTTCCAGGCCATGCGAGTTCTGTGTGCGCTCCTTGCACATTTCCACATTCTGCGTACCTGGTAGGCCCTCGTGCTCCCATCGGAGATCCTGCGGGACCGGCTTCAAGTAATGGAGGCAGGTGCAGCCATGGCGGCTCGGTGCAGGACATCACCTTCATTGACACTCCTGGAGTTCTTTCTGGCAGCAAGCAGCGCATCGGTCGGGACTACGACTTTGCGCCAGGGAGCCCAGCAAACTGCAGTCGGTTCTGTGCCCAAAGCACTTTGCTGCGAGGAAGATCAGTGCCTGGATGGCAGACCGAGCCGATCTGGTGCTCCTCACGCCCCTTGGACCCGAGCTTGGCCTGCCATGCCTGCTTCCCGAAACCCGAGCTGAGGTTCGACGCCCACAAGCTGGACATCTCCGACGAATTTCAGCAAGTCATGGAGGCCCGGAGCCCAGAGACGCAAATGGCAAGCGCCCTTTGGCGCCTGAGAGGTCTTGCGGCCCCATGCCGGCAAGGTGCGATGCGTGCTCAACAAGGTGTGACTCACGCAACAAGAAAGAGAAAAGCACTGGGGCAAAGGAAGTTGTGGCCGCCAGGCGGACCAGATCGATGCATCCAATCTGGTCAGGGTCTACGGGGCGCTCCTGTGGAATGTTGGGAAGGTGCGAGGTCGCGCAATTCACACCATGCATTCAATATGCAGTCAGTGTGTAAGGAATCAGAAAAGCGAGGTTGATTTGACGCAGTTGTCCATAAGACTAGGGCCAGGACAGCGGTCAGACTGTGTGGAGCCAGGTGTTTCAGACACCCGAAGTCGCGCGCGTCTTTGTCAGTTCCTTCTGGAACGAGCCGTACCGTTTCCAGGCACATTGAGTGCTTCGACAAAGCTGGCGATGCAGAGCATTCGTAAGCCAGGATCACTTGACCCTCTTTGAGGAGGACAAAGCTGCGGTGGTGAAGGCGGGTCATGTGCCGTCTCGTCGGAGGCGTCGCTCGTCTGTCAGCTGGCTTGAAGGAGCTGCAGTCGCTTCCGCATACAGCATTGCTGCGGAAGATCAACAACCTCACAGCCCGTGTCGCAGCCTCACCAGCATGAATGTGTGTGAGATGCCGGCCCACGTAATTAAACTCGAGAAGGTGCGCAGAGTCAGAACTCACGTCATCGTTGTCGGGTACCTGCGTTCGAGGACCTTCCTTTTGGGATGGTGTGATGAAAGCTTTCCAGAGACTAGAGATGGAGAGAGAGCGAGAAAGAGGGAGAGAGAGAGAGAGAGAGCTTTCTTTCTGCCGGGCGTAGGGGTCCTGAGGGTCTCCCCGCGGGACCCCTACGCCCGGCAGAAAGAAAGAAAGAAAGAGAGAGAGAGAAAGAGAGCGAGCCTCGGTCAGTCTTCGTCATGTCCTGCTGGCCCTTGACAGCGTAGCGCACGTGCGTTCGGGAGCCTTTCTGGGTCCAGGATTCCTCTTCACCTCCGTGCGCTGGGAAACCTAAAAGGGTGACCACTTTCGTTTTGGGGGTGGAGGCTGGGCGGTGGGCCCCTCTCGGCTCCGAGGCTGGGGGCCGACGGGCCGATCCGACACTTCCTCTGCCGCGGCGCCCAGGGCCAGCGAAAGCGGAGCTCCGCGCGCTCCGAGAGCTCCGAGCGCTCCGAGGCTCCAACCTGGAGTCTTTGCTGAGCGAGGCGCTGGGAGCGGCGCTGGCTTCAGACATGACCACGCGCAGCGAGCGGTGCTTTCCTTTGCCAGGCGCAGCGGGTCCACAGCTTGAGCACCGGAGACATGCCGAAACTCGAGGTGAGGAAGCATCTGTTACCACAATAACTAAGTTTTCCAGTTTGGCAATGAGCTCAGGTGCTGCGGCGAAAGCTTCAGGACTTCGAGCAAGGCGCGATTTTCAGGTCGGTGGCAAGTGTGCGAAAGAAGACGGCTGCACCCGCATGCAGCTGGCCCTGGTACACAAACTGAGCTAAAGTGTGGAGGTTGCCGCTCCATGCGACTTTAGAAGTAACACAGCCTTGCATAAAAGTAGAATGTTAGAACTTGAGATTATCTCTGTGTGTAGTCGGGTCGTACAAGGGAGACTTCCGTAGGTGTGCCGGGCAATTCTAGGCGTGGGTTATCGGTTGAGGGTTGAGGTTTCCATGGCTTGTCATGATTCCCAGACGTTATAGGGCATGAAGCAGGGCGTTACGGCTTGTAGCATGGCCCAACACAGTACGGACAGTAGACAGATGGGCAAGAATTGTATCATTGCACTTGCTGCACTTAGACGGAAGTCATGCGGGATTCTTCACAGTGAAACCTGCGCCGGATTCAGTGCCAGCCCCGCCAGCTATGCTGCGTTGAGTCATTGGACTGTCTGTCCACGCACGACGTCAAGCGGATCATACAGAGGCTCAATAAGCCAAGAGGGCTCATGGGTGATACCCTGCAAGGGGGTTATCAAGTCCGCGATTGAACAGCGCTTGTCGCGCAACCAAGAGCCCACACTCTAACATACCTTGAGAGACCGCATTGGCTACACTGATACCGTGGGAATTGAACTTGAGGGTGAGGTGAAACGATGATGCCTGGGCCCTTCTCCGGGGGTCGATGACTGTGGCAAGACTTCGGATCTTGGATTTAAGGTTTCGGGTGTTACGAAGACAGTGACTGCCATCATGGGCAGCAACTGCTCCAGTGTTTTGGGATAAAAGTCGGGTCAGGGTAGCTTTGGACTGGACTTGTATTTGTCAGGCTTCAGCATGGAGACTTGCCAGCAAGGCTTCATGCCGGGTTTCGATGTGTTCAGGTTTTGCATGGGGTAGTACGAAGCCTTTGGCGTGTTTTTGGAAGGAAAGCAGCTGCCACCAGGAATGAGGCAAACAAACTTGTTTCGCCTTTGCAGGCTTGTTGCACCTGCCCGTGCCTGCCACGGGAGATGTGCGCCGACTGGACGCCGTGCTGGAGAAGGAGGCACGCAGTACTGGCAGGATGTGATTGGGCGGGTTGTGGACGTGCGATGCGATGCTCTGTGCGTTAGGTGCCTCAGCTTCTCTCCGGAGTGGGCGGCGTCTCCCTCTCCAAGGCGCGGCCTGCTTTCCCGTTTAAAGCCTCTGCGCCGCTCTGCGCTGCTCTTCGGCAGAGGAGAGCCTCAAGGCGCCGCTGCCCTCGCTGCGCACTCAGAGCTCCGACTCTTCGCGCTCTCCTCGCCCCTCTGTTTGTCTGCGCTGCAATGCGCAGCTTGTTTGGAGGCCGGGCTGCTCCTCCTTGGCGTCCTTCCTGGGCTTCGGCAACCGGAAACGCAAGAGGCCCTCAAGTGCACCTCTGAGCCTTCCCTGGTTTTTTGCTGCATGACAGGGAAGATGCCTGAGGGCAAGATCTTGGTCCGGAAAATTCGATGGCGGCGGTATATGTGGCAGTGGCCATCGCCGACCCCATAATTCGATCGGTAATGTATAGTGTCGGGGTGGAATCCCCTGCGAGTGGCGGGCGGCGTTTGTAGAGGCTTGCGGCTGACCACCACCGCAAATTCGATTCTAGGACCTAGGACAGCTTCGACATCATGCGAAAAGTCGGGGTGTGCAGTGTTGTGATATTGGGATGGGATGCAAGTCGCGGGATGATTCACGATTGCCGGATCAAGGAGACGGACAGGTGTAGTGATCTGATACGTGAGGGACGAAAAGGCCCGCATTTTGGAGCCCGGGTAGTCCCATGTAGTCCCCAACGTGCAGAACTATATAGGTTTGGACCGACGATGTAGCATGATCAATGAATACGCGGTGTAACTTTGCAAGGCAGGCGGCCAACAGTCAGCATCCCACCTAACGCTGCTGGCCTTCTCAGGAGTTTGTTCAGAGATGTGGTAATGAGCCACAGAGCAAGTCTTCAGAAGCGGAAATAGGCCACAGGCATGGGCATTGAACCTCCACTTAGCACAATCGCTGCTGGAAACGATGCTGCAAGCACCCCAGTTGGTGTTCAGAAGTCGATTCCGCCGTCGCACCTTGCTGGGCGAGGCTGCAGCATTGAAGCTTGCTGCCAGCCGCGGCTCTCCCGCACTGGCGGCTGCCATCCAGGCCTTAAGTCACGCAGTTTAGGCCTATCTTTGCCAAGCGCGGCCATCATTGACGATTCCGCCTGCGTGTTAGGCAGGACAGTTCCCAAAGACTTCGGTGTGCACCCTGGGAGGGTTCAGATACAGTCGGTCGTCTTGTGCTGCCAATTTCTTCAAGCCATCAAGGTCTATGAGTTCGGCACAAACGATGCCGGGAGCCGAAAGAGAGCAGATCATCTCCTGTAAACTGTTGGCGCTGTATGCCAAGGCGCTGCACGCAGCGCCGGCACCTGCCAAGGTGCGGCCTGAGCTGCCCTGTATCGGCTATGTGCGTGCCACGCATTGCTACGCCAGCCTACACGGATGTCGCTGATGGCGGAGAAGCCACCGAAGCCACAGCCAAGGGAGGTGCCTCCATCAGCAGGACGCACAGCTTTTGCCCGCGCCACTTTAGACTGCAGCGATGCTTCGATGACTGCTGACGCAGCTGCGGGTGTTTCTGAAATGTTGAGAGTGTCTTTATGATCTACCGTGGACCAAAGTAGAGTGATGAGGGCAACTTGCGGTGAAGAATGAGGTGTCACTGCACTCCGCCTCTCTTGGGTTGAATGCTCTTGCAACACCTTCAACTCTTAAGCTCTTCAGTTGTGCTTCCTCGAGGTCGTGGCTGCCGCTGCTGTGGAAGCCCAAGCGCACTTCAGGAAAACCATTGTCTCTGCATGAGGATGCCATCACATGCATGGTGTCAGCATGCTCTCGCCGACATTTCCAGAGGCCATCGGCCGTGCTGTGGCTACGTTGCCGGGGGCAGGCCAAGCTCGATGTGGATACTGATGCTTTGACAGCAGTTCCAGTGCAACAGGAGCAGCGGCCTAGATGTCCTGGATAGGTTCGCAAACACCAGCTTCAGCATGCTCAAGCAATAGCATTTCACTCGAGATCTGACGCGGGAGCAGATGAATGCGTGATGCGATGCCACGGGCAAACCTCGGCGTACTGAAGATCTTGCATGCATCAGGCACGCCGGTGCATGGGCAAGCAACAGTTCCTGCGGCGACCCCTGCAGCAGCGGGCCGTGTGGCGACCAACGACAGTATGTCAGGCCGATTGGGCACATGCCAGAATTATCCTGACGCTGTCTCGTGCGATGAACAATGTTTGCTGACACGACATGTTCCCCTTCACAACGTCCTCATAATGTAGGAACTGAAGACTACCCTCTTGGAGAGTCTCTGTAACTGTTAAAGCTTTAGCCAGCTGGATGTGCCCTCTTCGCCCTTCGGAGATTGAGACAATCGTAGCGTCGCTCACACATCCACATGCATGTGGTGCTCACTGCAACCTCAGATGCCGGAAATGGCAACAGTATTTGGCTGACGGCGCCGGCGCCGGGGGTCCGAGCCTGAGGCTTTCCCAGAACATACCTTTTTAGAGTGCTTTTCTTGCACTGCTGTCAGGTTTCCGCGGAATCTCGTGTTGCTGTGCGGCTGCCGCAAAACGAGTTCACGTGCCTCCAGCACGTGTGTTTGGCTGGAGGTAGGCTTGATCCGGACGTGAGGTACATTGACCGGCCGTGGTTGCACTTTGTCACTCGCCTGAGCCCTTACATTGCCATCTTCCTACATGGGGCGTAGCTGTGTTCAAGAAGGGTAACCGGCCATCTGTCGAACTCTCTGCACAGTGCAACGGTGTCACGAGAGGGCACTAGTCACTCCAACCAGTGGTTGTTTTGGTTCCTAGCGAAACGAGGTTGGGCAGCTATTGACACGGAGATCTTTCGATCCATCGGTGAGGCATTCCGCTCAGGTGTTAGTGTGCCAACTTGACACGTGTTGATGTCAGGCACCCTTTTCCTTGATCGACCTGGGTAGCTGCTGTGGCTTCTTCAGCTTGCAGGAGTGCCGGCAACATGCTTGACTGCCTGTTTTAAATTACGTGTCCCAGTCAGGGACTCTGTGAGCAGGCAGCCGTGGCCTATCCTCAGGCATCCGTCTTCGGCGTGGAAGGGTCTGTCGGAAACTAAGCGTTGTTCTGCGAGTCTTTGGTGAAGAGCTGGCCTATCTTAGGTTGGTATCGGAAACGGCACGACTGGCTTAGATGGTACGCAGGAGATGATGACTTAGCGCAGATTTCTGTGCTGCCGGGCCGGTGCCCCCCGACAGTCATCGGCCTGTCGACCCTGCCAGGACCAAATCATTGCGACGAAGGCTGTTCAAACCCACCTCCGATGGATCAATCGACTGCCGGGTTCTTCAGTCCCAATGCGCACCTTGGAGTGTTGAGCGGACAGCCTGCAGGAAATTGCCAAACTGCTTCCTGGCGCCGGACGTCTGGGATTTCAAGAAGGCTTCCGACCGTCTCCTTGCCGTGGTTGCCATGTTTTCATTTTCATTGCAGGTTTCCGGCCTCGCAGCCGCTGGCAACCTTTGCGATGTTCTCCTGCTGCTCTCTGTTGCGCGGCACCGAGCACTGTGACCGGCACGGAGATCGAAATGTCGCAGCTGGCTGTGGAGGTCCATCACGTCGACAATGCCATTGCCTCGGGCACACAACGATGCATCGCATCGCCTCGCCGCTTTCCAAAGCTTGGTGTCGGTGTCAGGTTTCGACCGACCAGTACGCCGAGCAGGGCTGGAGCCGAGTAGAGGCCGGGGCCAAGCGCTGGCGTTGCTGCCGCCGCCGCCGTTCTTGGCTCGAGCTTCGCCTACAGACACCGGCACCATGGGCCTGCCGGGTCGGGATATGTCGCGATTCCTGTGGCCAGGCCGGGAGAAGCTGCGATCCGATCTGTGGCTTACGCGACCGTTCCCAGGAGCCGGGCTAGAAAGCGTGCCATAGCGTGCCCGTGCCAGGGCCAGGCCCTGAGTCAAGGCACATTGCAGCTTTCCGCTTGAAGTGCAGCTAAGTGCAGCTGCTGTCTGTGTCGGCTCAAAGCTTGTAGACGTGAGAGCGCTGCAAGCTGGCTCGGTCAGAATCGCACATTCTCCATGGCGCAGATGAAGGAGACGCGCGAGGTCCT